AAGGACAATATTACATTATAAACAAGAACATATATTATCTAAACCAATGTTAATATTACAATCAACTATATATCATAAGCAAACCTATCAAGATAATCAAATCAATGTGGTACAAAAAATAATAACTTATTTTACTTGCTTAATATTTATATGAAATCAATATATAACTCATTTTCAAACTTATCACCAATAAAATTGTCTTAATCCAATCATAACTAGTAACTTCTCAAGTGAATGTCCCTATAAACATTATTTTATAAAGGTTTAACTATCTTTAAAACAAAACTACTGTTCAACTCATTACCAACAAAAGATAAATTTCATAAAAGATATTCAACACTATATATAGACTCAAAATATTTTAGATGTGACTATATAAGAAAAGATCAGATCCATATTTTCAATTGCATTGAAAGCAAAAGAACTGATAGAAAAAATTACCCAAACTTAATGAAATTATAAAAAACAAAGCAAAAGTTAAATTCTGGGTGAGTCAATAACAGTAATGCTTGAATCAATTAAAAAAGACTTTTTATTAAACATAACTTTAAGAAAATCAAATAAATACCTGGTTTCGTTAAATAGCAAAAAACTATAAATTCAATTGATGAACAAATCACTAAAAATTCTTTATAAAATTTGAAAACAAAGATAAAACATAGCCAATACTTCATTAATCAATGAAATCCAATAGAAAAATATAAAATCAGCACACAAATCTAGCAAAAGTGAAAACAATACAAACAATAATTCTATTTTAAAAACCATTATTGAATCATCAAATATATCAAACAATTCTATACATAAATCAATATTTCTATCCTCAATAATAATATTGTTTTTGAATGAGCATTAGCCATTCGACCCTATTTTGGTAAACCTGGATACTGTCCAGTAGTGTAGCACAATAGGAAAATTGCAATAAATTATAATTAATTTACCAATGTAAAGTCTATTAATATAATGTTTAAGAATTAAATTTCTAAAAAAAATTTGCATTTAATGCTTATTTGCGATAAAAAAAAAAAAAGAGTTTAAAAGTTTTAAATTACAATGGTCTTTTATTTAATTTAAATGATATAAAATTTAAAGATAAATTAATTAAAAAACAAAAATTTATTTTTAAAAATTTTGATTCCCTTTATAAATAGATTAAATATATAATAGTATTGCAAATAATAAGGTTCAAAGATTAATAATAAAATTAAAAACCGAAAATAATTCACTTGAAAATAATTTGCAGTGAAATGTATTGATTTTGAACTTGTATAACTTATCAAGTACTGCAAATTTATAATCAATGGCTATTACAGTATAAGTTAACATGAAGTAGCATATTACCTATCTATCAAGTTATTTACAATATCATGATCGTATCATCCTTCTGCACTTCTTCACTTTATACAGTACTGTAATTCTCACGATCAATTACATTAACAGATTGTGTCTTTCTATTGTTCTTGTTAATATTTTTTCGCGATTCTCGGGTAATCCAAATGCACAGTATTAAAGCAATTACGTATTAATACACTAGTGGAATACCAAATACAACTCGTATTAATATACTAGTGGAATACCAAATACAATTACATATTTAATGAAGTTGTGATAACAATCTTTAGATCCGTATCTTAGACCGTTTTTAATAATCACAGAGCGAATTAACGGGTTTAATATCTCAATCCATTTTTAATTAACCATTTTTTAATTAGAGAACATTCGACATACGATTTTCGATCCAATATATTGTCGCGGGCTGTATGCGAAAAATTATACTAAACAAGACTTATCACGAGTCCATGTCTTTATTTATTTTTTAGCGACAGACTCGCATACTGTAAATTGAGAATTGAGATATTTTTATATACTGTATATACTGTATATTTGATAACATTAAAAAGTAGCATAATGCGATAAAACTTGAGGCTTAAATATTTACGAATTATTAAATTATCCTTTCAAAAACGTGATAAGAATTACAAAGTCAAGAAAGAATTATCTAAATAAAAGTGTCATTAAGAATATTTGAGGTTTATACAAAATACATTTTCTTATTATTAAAGACTTAATACGATGTTCAAAATTTACAAGTCGTTCAAATAAAATTATTGTCTGAAAAATTAATTTTGCGTTTTGGTAAAATATAATAAATCATTTAAATGCGTCGTTTCCAAAGATAATCCTCGTTTTATCACTCGTTAATCTCCCGATAGGCACCATTCTCGAACTTCTGCCTCGCAATATCCAACAACTCCTGGAACTCACCACTCTGCTCGCACATTTTTCTGAACATCGAATCTGGATTTTGCATTAACGTGTAGGGTGCATCAAACTCTACCACATTTCCCGCATCTATTTAACGTAAGGTAAAATTATAAGTTAGATACTATACAAGTATTTCGCTAGGAATGTTGATAACGAAGAACAGGGATAATAACAAAGGAAATTAACTAACCCATCACCAAAATTCTGTCATAATCTGCCACCGTCCTCAGACGATGTGCTATTGTTATCACGGTGCTATCTTTAAATCCCTCTCTTATTGTGGTCTGAATCAAGTAATCAGTTTTAAAATCGACGCTGGCTGTCGCTTCATCCAATATTATCAACTTTGAATGTCTAATTAATGCACGGGCCAGTGCAATCAGCTGTCGTTGACCTTGTGAGAAATTATTACCATTCTCATTGACCGGTGACTCGAGCGTTAATTCTTGTTTTTCATTATTAGTAGTGGATTCCTGCAGCGCAAATTCATTTTTTTCAGGATCGGCGGATGTGGAGGCAATCGGTTGATTCTCTTGGATTAGATTTGCTCCTTTTAGAGCATTCCAAATAGTAAGATCGTCGTGTAGGTTGAATGGATCGATATTACTTCTATTAATGTAGAAGACAAATAATGAGAGATGACCGAAACAAGAAAATAAGTAAAAATTATTGGAATTTATTCTTTGCAAACGAATATTACCTTATAGTACCGTTAAACAACACTGGATCTTGAGGTATTATGGTGATCTTACTTCTAAGATCTTTCAGACCTATGGCGCAAATGTCTACTCCATCAATCAAGATTTTTCCGGAAGTCGGTTCCACAAATCTAAAGAACGACGTTGCCAATGTGGATTTACCACAGCCTGAAATTAAATGGTAAAATATGAATATGGTGCATTGCATATATATTTGAAGTTCAATTCGGTCACTAAGTAAAAAACCAACCAGTCCTTCCGACAATTCCAATCTTCTCGGCTGCATGAATTTCAAGCGAGATTCCGTGTAACACAGGCGGGTTGTTAGGTCCGTATTGCATTACCAAATCTTTAATACTCACTTCACCCTTATTAGGCCATTCTGGTGGTGGTCGATTATCGGGAACTACGAGATCCGCCTCCATGTCTAATTCTTCTGAATAATAAACTAAACGTTCCACTGCATTCATGTTTGCTTCCTAAACAATATGAAAAATGTTGGCTAGTTAAACGCGGAGGGTTTACAAGAGTTTTAAAGAAATTGTTCGTACCATTTCGGCAGCCTGCCTCACACACCAATTGAAAACCCCCGTAACCTGCAAAGCGTAACTCAAAACAAAACCCGTGATCGAGGGGTTGACAGAGAATCGTTGAACGATGGAAAATAAACTTGCGAAAAATATTAAAAGATTCGCAATTGCATCCAATCTTAGACCAAGCCATCGCTGAACACAAATGGTTAAGAAATAGGCACGATTCTCTATGTCAATGTACTTTTCATTGTTTCTATAATAATAATAATAAGTAAAAGAAGTGTGAAGACGAAATGAAATAAAAAAAAAACGACTCGTAGTTATTTGCAAGGGTTTTATGAAAATAATAACTACTTGACAAATTGCTCCTGTACGCGGTAGGCACGGATGGTCGGCAGTCCGGTAAGTGACTCGGAAAAGTGGGCATAAAGTGAAGAACGTAGTATAGAATCGAGACCTATTAAATCACAATGTCATTGTGTAGTTCAAATATGTATAAATATAATTCCCTGGGTGCTTTAAAAATTACTCACGTCTTAATTCGCGATTAGTCGCCCGATAATAGGCGGCGGCAATATAGTAGAAAATCACCAACGGAACCAACGGTAATATAAACCACGGAAATACCACGCTGATTAATATGAACGTGCCGATTACCACAGCAAGTGTATTCAAGAACATTCGGTAAGATTCTGAAAGTAAATTGTCGCATGTATCCACATCCTTACTGAACCTATAACAATAAAAGTAATGATAATGAGATTTGAAATCTAGAATAGAAAATTTCAAATCTTTCACAAATGTCACTCTTATCTACCGATTAATAATTCTACCCAATGGAGTGGTGTCAAAGAAACTAGTGGGTGCTCTCAGAACTCTCCTCACAGCTAGATCATGTAACTTCTTTGCGGCTTTAATACCCGTAACAGAGAATATCACACCAGAAATCAAACTGAATACAGCTGTGGCTACTCCCCATAAACAGTAAATTCCTATCTGAATAGATGAAAAAGGTAGAAAATGATGAAGAGAGTGAGAAAATTTTTCGGAATCTTGAACGGAAGTACAGGATAAAATTGAGATGTACATATTCTCCGGTGGACAGGTGAAATTGATCACTTGACCAATATGAAAGCCACAGGGTATTACTATTTATGATGAAAAAGGACAAGATAAGATTTTTCAATCTCGAAAAAATTGACCAGATATCACCAGGAAGCAATGAATATACTAACTTACCCAATGCTCGATCCTTGCATGCCCACCATTATAATAAATATCAGTGGTACCAACAGTAAACCCCCGGCTGACTTCACATATGCTATGTAGATATCATTATTTACAGATCCAGTGGATCGTTCTTCCTTGGTCATCAATCCTTTTCCAGCGATTGCAACCTTATCTTTTTTGGGGGTTTCCTCTTTAGGATCTTCGGCTATTGTCTCCGATTTCGCATCACCATCATCATCACCACCTTCTCCAAATTCAGCTACGAGTTTGGAAAAGCTTTCACCAGCATTCATTAACTCTTCATAAGTACCTTGCTCGGTGATTTCACCGTCTTCCATGAAGATCACATAATCAACATGCTGAAGGACGCCCAATTTGTGGGTTACGAGGATTCTAGTTTTAGACTTTAAGGTACCGCAAATACAATTCTCGAATAAGGTCTTGCCAACATGAGCATCCACAGCCTAATGGACGAACGAGAGTGATGAATGTCATCTACTAGATCAACCGATGTAACAAGAAAGTATGTGCGGGTAGAAAACTTACAGACAATGGATCATCAAGTAACACTATATCAGCATCATAATATACCGCTCTGGCAATATTGACACGTTGTTTTTGTCTTAAATTTAATAGATTGATAAAGATCTATTAATTTAAAAGGTAAGATAGAAGGGAGAAAAACGAAAGATAAAGTAACAATTCTCACCCTCCAGACAAATTAATTCCTTTCTCCCCGATTTCGGTCAGATCCTGTGCCGGCAAGATTTCCAAATCCGGCTCTAAACAACAATCCTTGATCACCCGTTGATATCTCTCCTCATCAAATGGCAACCCAAAAAGCACGTTATCCCTCAGGGTGGCATTTTGAATCCATGCAGATTGTGGACAATAGCCTACACTTCCACCAAACTCGATCTCCCCATTTATTTTCTTCATCTCACCTACCAAAGCTGAGAGCAATGATGACTTCCCAGATCCAACGGAACCCACAATGGCCACCAAAGCGCCACGAGGTATGGAAATATTGATGTTTCTGAGATGAGATAACGGTCTGAGTGGTTGTACATTCTCCAATTGAGCTGCCGAATCGGCAGGTGTGAGCGTGGTCGAAGTTTCGGATTTTTCATCGATGGGTTTTATTTCCTTTTCCTTTTCCTTGTCCTTTTCCTTGTCCTTTTGACCGTCAATTTCCTCACCTTCACCTTTGCCCTGTCCATTTTTTTCATCTTTCTTTTGCTTTTTCTTCAATTTCTTTTCTCGTTTTAACTCTTTCTCTGATTTCTTTTTTTCTTCGGGTGGCGCACTTTCCCATTGAAACTCCCCGTTCTCTATTCGAATGGCATATTCATTGTCGTATGCAATTTTAGGCAAGGACTCAAGTTCTTCTGCTAGTAAAAATTCTTTGATACGTTTTCCGGACACGAAGGCATCAGTGCAAGCGGCTATGACCATCGGTAGTAGCATGAGAGGCAGGCGGATGATGTTAAATAAGGCTACTGAAGAGAACGCGACGTCAGCCGTGAGATCTCCGCCGCGGAGAGAGAAAACAACAAATGATAGAATAGTGGCGAACACCGGGACCACCTTTGATTAATGAAAAGTCATAATTTTTATTCGATTTCAATTAATTGCAAGAATTTATTGAATGTGAGGATGGTATGGCGTTTAAGACACGTGACCTACCATCGAAGCGCCCATAATCCAGGATCTTATGATCAATAAAAACCTAATGTAGCTGACTTCCTTTTTTCTCAATTTATCTAAAGCTTCTAAAAAGCTGTCTTCCCATGCATAATATTTTATCACCCGAATACCTTGCAGCACTTCCTGCGTCAATTTCACGCGCTCATCGGTAATTTTAACTGCCTTTGCGCGTCCACGTTGCAACGTTCTCATAACTTTCCCCTGAACGGGCCCCATTAAAACAAGCAATGCGAATCCAGCCAAAGCAGCCACTCCGAGATTTTTGATCAATAAACCAAGAGCAATGAATGTTTCTACAGGAGCAGCCCACATGATGTGTGCATAGCCAGCTGCAAAATCCAGACGTGTGGTATCCGTCGACATTATATTTGTGACTTTTCCGACGGTAAAAATGGTGCGTGCTTTTCCACTAAGCACCATGGCTTTTCGATAGATGGCATCAATAAGTATGGTGCGAGTAAGAACTCCTGTTTCCATGGATTTAAAGAAGAAGAAGTTACTGAACAGGGAGTAACCCTGTTGCATTAAATAGAGACCAAGGATGTAAATATATCCCATCGTTGAGTTTGGTGAACTAAATCCAGCGTAATATGATATTGCTACGTATACTAGAATTTTCTGTTATGAGGCGAAAAAGAATATGGTGAATTTTGGTTTGGGAACGAAACTAATGTATCACGTGATTGACTCGTGACGTAACGAAAATTTTACCTGAATCAATAACGGCGAAGTGACCTGTAAGGTATCACCACAAATCCTGAAAATACCCGCGAGCGTAAACCCCCATCCCACAGTCCTATATAATGCTTTCCACAATGATGGCTTTTTATTCGTACCCACTTTGTCTAACTCTTTTTTCCATTCCTCCTGAAACTTCATCGATAAATATTTTGCAGTTCGCTTGTCATTCATCACATAGAGGTCTTCTTTTTCTAGGGGACGTTTGTAACCGCGGTACATCAGATTACCGGCCCACCAGAACGTAATGCGAGAGAGGATGTTTGCACTCGCCTCGGGAATGACATTCTCGGATGATGGCGGTGGGGGAGGTTTTGACTTGAAGAAATTCATTTTAATGAAAAAATTCTTTTGTTGTCTTGTCGAAGTACTGACGATCGAAAATTATGGAAAGATGTGTAAAGAAGTTGATTACGTGAAATGGAATTTTTGCCTTATATGCATTGTGCTGTAGATTTCATACGTACTTTATACAATGATCAATCAATCAAGCCTCGTGTCTTATTATTTAGTTTGTGTTATTTGATTTTACGATATCATGTAATGGCATTATCTTCAGTTAAGCGAAATAGTGAAATAAGGCGAGAGATAGGAAAGAGGAGTCTAGAATTTGTTCTCCACGATAATAAAGTAAATTTTGAATTTGATTCGAGGTTTTTAATTCTCACGCGAAATCTAAACTAAACCATAAATTTCTCTTTAAAAGTAATAAAAGATCTTTTTCAGGAATTGATTACTTCGTTATTTCTCAATTCTAGTAATGATCTTTCGTGTACTAAGATGAAAAGTCGAGTATCGACCTTGAGAAAAGAAAAAAATCGTGTTGTTAATCCCTATTTATATTTTCGTCAGAGTCACGCTTGTCCAATATAGTAATCGTAACATAACACAATGTTGGGAGACCACCCCCGCGCCTAATATGCAAAACCTCAATCTTCGATTATTCAACAGCATCAAATTTACCAAAAAAGTTCTTTCCAAAATTAAATGAAAATCCGATGTAACATGATTTTTAAACTTCGAATTGCATATGCATCTAAAGTAACAGCCGTAGCTTTTCATATGTTAATTTAAATAGATAATAAATCGGAGTTCTTTTAACACAACCGGAAAAATGGTGGTTAATTTATCCTATCATTCCATCTTTTCGGTTGAAATTTACCGAAGGTTACAATCCATCTTGCTGAAAAATTGTTTGTGCGCGATTACATGAAAAAAAAAAAAAAAAGATTCCCACTATCTCGGTATCACACTATTATTCCAGTTAATTAATTATTTGTTTGCATCCTTTTGTTTATCGTGTGACTATTGCGCAGTATGCGTGGTATCAGTACAATAATATCGATATGCTTCCAATACTGCACTTTGTTTTCTTTTTGACACACTATTGATGACAAATTATTTAAGATTATAAATGCTAATTAAAAATGTTCTGAGAAATTCAAGTTTGCAATTTACTTTGAGTCCTTAAAGAGAGATGTTTCTTGGGCGGCAATATCCATAAAGCTCTTAATACCGTTTGGACCTTGACATATGACTTTTGGATGAAAAGGCGCGATTTTGTTGAACGAATTATATCATTATTATTAATCATATACTGTAATTCGTCCAAACATGTTTTATTAGCATTTACTGTAAGTCACGTGGTAATTTTAAAAGGAGAGAT